ACTGATCGGTATCATTTTTGTCCGTCATACTGGTTTTTTTTTACCAATCACAGAATAGTTATCTAGTATTCGACTATATAAGAAGTGGAAAGGCTATGCCCGGCAACATTCATTCACCAGATTCAGTACGAAACAGTCTAATCATCAACAAATCAACATGAGCGGACGCGGTAAAGCAGGAAAAGCTAAGGGAGGCAAATCCAAGACCAGGTCGTCCCGTGCCGGACTCCAGTTCCCGGTCGGTCGTATCCATCGTCTGTTGAGAAAAGGAAACTACGCCGAACGTGTCGGAGCCGGAGCACCKGTATACCTGGCCGCCGTCATGGAATACTTGGCAGCCGAAGTCTTAGAGTTGGCCGGTAACGCCGCCCGTGACAACAAGAARTCCCGTATCATCCCCAGACATTTGCAATTGGCCATCAGAAACGACGAGGAGTTGAACAAATTGTTGTCCGGTGTGACGATCGCTCAAGGCGGTGTGTTGCCCAACATTCAAGCCGTTCTCTTACCCAAAAAGACCGAGAAGAAAGCTTAGTTAGTTCCGCCGTTACTTGTAAAAATGATTATGATTTTAATAAAAAGTCCCTTTTCAGGGCCACCAACATTTTACAATCATATACATTTATCTTAAAATCAGATCTCACAAATGGACTTCAATAACTAATATTGAATAGGTACAACAATAGTTATTACATATTATGTTAGATCATCGTTGAGACATGCTGTATATTATATTACCATCGATTTAATATGCTTTTATCATGTGAATCGAGATTATGAATTACACACATTCGTTTGCGCATACTTTTAAAATTGTATATACTATACAGATTTTGTCATCATTTTAAATCAACAATCCAAAAACTCGATTATTACTCAGTACTCTCCATTGAACTATATGATGACTGGTATGCTCACCCGCCATAAGACCAATGTAAACATAACCGAGATAGCCTGTTAGAAAAGACAGCGGATAAGAATACACCATTCTTGTTGCWATTTTTTTAATTTTTTAATTTTATGTTATTATATTTATTATATATTTTTTACATATAAATTTATATTTATTGTATATATTATTATATTTTATCTCTTTTTATCACACTATCAATATGATTGTTTACCAATAAATAATAATAATATCGTTGTTTTGTTCTTTGTTTTAAACTTATTCATCATAATTTAATACCTACTGTTAAATTGTGATGTATAGTTTTATTTTTATTATGCTTTAATGGTTGTATTGCTATGTTTTGCTTTTAAATGTAATAAATCAACTATTATTTTTCACTATGGTATCTTATACAGTTGCAAATTTTGTTAATTTATTTTATGTAAAATATTTTTATTAATATATAGTTTTATTGTCATTACAGGAAAAATATCCAGCTGAAGTCAACTCAACAAAAGTTACCTAGTTAACTTAACACATTATATTATAACTTCAAGGTTAAGACTATGGTTAAAGTATCTACAATTTCTTATAGTATCTTTAAATAATTACTTATTTTAGGAAATTTTGGCCAAGAAGTATAACAAAAATCTATTGAAGATTCTGTTTACTGGATTTTTCCAGTAGTAATCGTATATTATACATATACATATTGAATTAAGTTAGGAAAGCAGTAAGAACAATAATTGAGGTAATTTGTAGGTACAGCTTCAAGTAAATACTATACCTAAGTATCTTTTCTTTCAATTATGTAAATATTATAAACTGTTTTTATTTTAATAAAAATCAAATTTTTGTCATTTTATATGCTTATAGTTATGAATTAAAACCTTCTAACTTTAAATTTAAGACTTAATATTTTTTCCTTTACATTTATATGACAAATGTAGAAGTCCACAAGAAAAGCATGTTTCAATACTTGTTATAGGTATTATAAATTATAAATTATAATTGTTTA